CTTGCTGCGGCGCCGGTCACGGTCTCGGCGATCCTAGGCATGCGCCATGCTTAGTCATGGCTTAATCAATCCTTAATGGCCTTAACCGGATTATATCACGGCAGATTATATCAGATTGTACTGTTGTTAATCAATTTATAATCTGATATAATCTGCCATGTTGCGCCACTCACAACTTTGACAGATCGACCGTGATTTGCTCAATGATGTGATGGAAGGATTTATTTCTGCGTGGTTGGGTTTGTCAACATGATACCTTGCAAACCAAACCTTTATAAGTTTCTTTATTTTCTGTCGATCAAGGCTGTAATTATATCATGCAACACGCTGTGCACACCTCCAAATCAGTCCAAAACATACAGCACATAGAAACTGACTTTTCTAAATGATTCCCCAACAACATTGACTAAACAAAACACTAAACCGCTTGCTGTTTCCGATGAACTCAACATAGACACACTGCACATTGTTTTTCTAAATCCAAGCCGCACGATCCCGATCGCGATCACGATCACCGCCGCCACTGCCTGGTGAAGACCACATATTATTACACACAGTATGTATATGCATGCATATTCAATCTATATACATATACTGATATAAATATATGTGTGTATGTGTGTATATGTATGTATATGTATGTAGGTATGTATGTATGTATGTATGTATGTATGTACGTATGTATGTGTGTATGTATGTATGTATGTATATATATATATGTATATGTACATGTATACTGTATATGTGTATGTATATGTATATGTAAATGTATATGTAAATGTATATGTATCCGTATGTATCCGTATGTATCCGTATGTATCCGTGTCTATCCGTATCTATCCGTATCTATCTATCTATGTATCTATGTATCTATGTATCTATGAATCTATGTAACTAGGTATCTATGTAACTAGGAGCACGGCCTTTAGAAGGCCGTGGGTTTTTTGTGATCAACGGTGTATCATGGATGATTCTTGATGTGCTCGTGCCAATAGGATTCTGTTTGATGTGATTTTTAAGGCCGTTAACCCCTTATTCTGGTGCATATTTTCAAAAATAGGCCTTTCGCCTAGACGAAACTACCATGTTTGAGGTTTTTGAGAATTCCCAAACTAATTCGACCTGACATGTTTTGATGTGGTTTTTAAGGCCGTTGACCCCTTGTTCTGGTGCATATAAGCATTTCGCCTAGACGAAACCACCATTTTTGGGTTTGTGAGAATTCTCAAAAATATTCAACCTGACATGTTTTGATTCCTGTGTTGGTCACAGCAACGCTTCGAGTTCTTCCAAGAACCTTTGCGGATCTGGATTGTTTAAGGTACAACGCCAGCACCACATGAACACATGGAAAGTTCCAGAGAACTTACAATAGCGTGGCATGACCCATGAGCGGAAAGTTCCAGAGAACTTACAGTAACGTAGCATGACGTATGAATGGAAAGTTCCAGAGAACTTACAATAGCGTGGCATGACGCATGAGTGGAAACTTCCAGAGAACTTACAGTAACGTAGCATGACGTATGAGTGGAAAGTTCCAGAGAACTTACATAGCGTGGCATGACGCATGAGTGGAAAGTTCCAGAGAACTTACAGAGAAGCATGTCCTTCCTCCGCAAGTTCACATGAACGTTATTACATGCCCCACCCCACCCCACCCGTGCATACATGCACCTACAGGCAGCCACAGAGATGCATGTCCTTCCTCCGCAAGTTCACATGAACGTTATTACATGCCCCACCCCTCCCCACCCCAGCCCCCCGATGTGTACAAAACACCACGGCCTTCTAAAGGCCGTGGTCCAACTATGTCTCGATGTATCTATGTCTCTATCTATCTATCTATGTATGTATGTATCTATCTATCTATGTATCTATCTATCTATCTATGTATGTATGTATCTATCTATCTATCTATGTATCTATCTATCTATCTAATCTAATCTAATCTAAGCTAATCTATTCTATCTATCTATCTATCTATCTATATATCTATGTATCTATCTATCTATCTATGTATGTATGTATGTATGTATGTATCTATGTATCTATGTATCTATGTATCTATGTATCTATGTATCTATGTATCTAGTCACGTACGTTTGTACGTTTGTACGTTTGTACGTTTGTACGTTTGTTTGTTTGTACGTTTGTTTGTTTGTTTGCTTGCTTGCTTGTTTGTTTGTTTGTATAAACATGACATATCACATACTAGTAATAAATACATTGTCACATAGAAGACTTGCCTCCACCAGCCCTCACATTTGTGGCTTGGTCTTTGCCCTTTCTCTCATTGTACTCCTGGAGGGGTTGATCAATATTCCAACTCATTGCAGCACTGCAATTTGACAGCGTTCTGTCGGGCAAAGCTGAGAATCTTGAAGTAGTTTCATGTAGTACCCTCTGGTAAACTAACATAACTATGGAAAATCACCATTTTCAATGGGTAAATCCACTATAAATGGTCATGTTCAATAGCTATGTTAAATTACCAGAGGGTAATTTCCCTGTGCCCAGGACACACAATCATACAAAATCCCTACCAGAATGATTTGCAGTTCCGTCGTCAATGGCTTTCCTCTCTGCACCTGAATTTGCTCCCCCCAAAATGGCGACTACATTGAGGCAGAAACGCCCTCTCTCTAGCCTGTCTACTTTCATCTTTGTGTAAACTGATATGGAGGTTAGCTGATATGGAGGTTTCCTGAAATTGGGGGTACCCCCAAATTATCCATTTCAATAGGATTTTCATGGATTTTCCATTATAAACCAACAAAACCAACCATTTCTACATTGGACCTGCAAGGCATCACCAGTCCTTGTCATAAGTCACCTTGTCTCCTTCTTGTATGCTGGCATCTCCTTCCACTAGAGCCGTCACGTGGGCAAAAAGATCCTGCGCTCCGCGAACCGCTGCGGTTCGAAACGCCGAGCAAAGCTCAAAATCAACGGGAAAGTGTAGTGAGCAACCCAAAAGCACCGGGACTTTTATGGGTTTTTGGGATTCCCACTTCATCTAGTGATTTCAATTGACATTAGTTTCATTAGTTCAGATGTTCCAGTGCAGCCTGTGCCGAGCACATTTCATCACAAAACAGTGGTATTCTGCACTGTCACCCTGAGACGGATGGAAGTCTTTGCCAAAATCTGCCACACATCGCCACGCCCAAGTATCAAATACCCTCTGGTAATTTAACATAGCTATTGAAAATGGTCATTTATAGTGGATTTACCCACTGAAAATGGTGATTTTCCATAGTTATGTTAGTTTACCAGAGGATATATCAAATGCCATCATGGCAGATTTTGAAACTTCTCCAATGCCTCGCCACCGTCGTCTGGCTTGATAAAGCCAAAGCCCTGAGCCCAGCCCCAGCGGAAAGTGGACGAAACTTGACACACCTCATATTTTTTCATATTTTTTTCATAGCTTTTTCAAGTAAGGTCACAGAGTCCGGGTTTCGGTGAAACAACGAAAATCGTAGTTTGAAATCGGTCACTTCAGCAAAGAAAACAAACAGAATCCATTCGAAACTCTGTGGTATGGCTCCAACATTCAGGACACTCACATTCTGCAGCAAATGCAAATGCTGCTTCATGCTGTTTCTCTTCCTGCAGTTAAAAAGGCAGTGGTGTCTGGCAGGTGGTATTCCCCCTACTCGCGCCTTGTCGCTGTGCCAGCGGACCATAGTGCCTACCTCCTGGAGCGGTTTCAACTCAGTTGGCACAAGTCAAACATGTTCCAGGGACTTCCAGGGGCTCACAGCATCTCACACCAATAACATCCAATATGGCAGTGTGTCAAAACCTTGTACCCCTGGTGAACATCAAAATAGCTGGTAAATGGATGTTCACCCCACCAAAAATGGTATTTTTACAGGTATTGATCCATACCCATATGATTCCAATTGCTGACACCTGACACGGAAAGAATTGTGGTGTGGTCTTCCCTAGGAGTCGATGAGGCTTGACATGGCTTGAACCCCCTGGATCCTTACCCGGCTCGTTGCTGCGCACGGGCTTTGGCTTGGACCCTGGCAAGGAGTTGGATCCCAGGGATGAGGGAAGTAGATGATCTCGCCATATCTCGCTTATGTATGCTTACATTGATCAAGAAGCATGATATTTCATGATATTTCATGATATTTCTTCATCCTTGGCCATCCGGTTTACTCTTTGAAGCTTTCGAAGGCCTGCAACAGTTTCAGATTTTTTTTGGTGGCAAAAGCTGTACGAGACGAGACAATTAAGCAAAGCATATCAAAGCCATTTCATGCTATTTCCAAGGCTGGGCCTCTAGAAAGCTGTGCAATGCCGCATGCAGGCTACAAAAGGCCAAAGATCGGCTTCAGCAGTTTCATACAATACATAAACATCAATCAACATCATTAAACATATATAAATAAACATGAATAAACGCAAATTCTGTGGGCAATACAAGCTCACATCTTTGGATTTCTTTAAATTCTGATGTTCTACAACTCTTGCCTCGTTCTTCATCTCGATGCCCACGGGAGCGGCTGCGATCACCTGCCAATTCAACAGCATTTCCAATCAGAAAGCCGTAGGCCGTCGGCCACTATCTTTAAAAAGAATCCCCTGCGCCAATTCAAAGGACTGGTGTAATGTTCACATATGTTCACTAGCTAGGGCTGCTAGGACCAGACCCAAAGCCATCGCTGTTTTCACGTGCGCGACACTCGCAACTTCGAAGTTGGGCCGGGAATTCACGCAACTTGTGCCATGCGCAAAAGCCATAAATATAGCTGTGCAACTCAGTACAGTGCTCGTGCTTGTCCCATATTTTGACCATCTGCCTGACCTCGTTCCCTACTCCTTTCACGGCCAGCGGTCTTTTTCCTGAGGCCGTTGTGATGCCGTTGTGTATGGGTCCTAGTGACGGGAGATGGAACCTTAAAGACAGTCAGGCAGGGGACAATTTCTGATCATTTTTCACTTCTGCTTGAAATCAGACTCTAGTCACTCTAGTCCCTTCTGGATCATTCCACAATCATGAAACCCTGATAAAACCTGATTTCTCCAGGTATGGCCAAAATCACTGTTGAAGCCAGGCATAGCCAGGCTACCCAGAAACGCCAGTCCTCCGGATGGCGCTGATCTCCGCCAGCTCCCCGGGTGCGGACAATTCTACTTCCGCTGCGCGGTATTTTCCCTGGCGATACGGTGGATGGGGATGGACGGGATGGATGGGTTTGGGGCATGTGCCAAAGGATCAAGATGATCAAGCCATTCAGACGGAACTATTTGGAATAATTTGGAAGTGGCTCAAGCATAGAGGGAAATTATTCATCTATGAATCTACAAGTACTAGTATGTATTAACTTGGCTATCTGTCCATTCAGTGGAATACTCTGGACAATGGGTCCATGTGCCCATGCAAGACAGGCATCATCAAAAATCTGAAAACCCAGGGGTACAGCCCACATTTTTTATTACCTCAAAACAGCTGAGAAGTTCCCAAAGTGCTGAATGTATCTGAGTATCAAAACAGTCACGAAGCTAGAGTCTGGAAAGAGTTGCTGGCTAGCCTTGCGATTGTCCCATTTCTCCGTGTACAGCACGTAGTCGCCCTGACAAAGGATGAAAACCTAAGGTACATGACCGAAGATGTGTGCTCATTCGAAGCGTGAACGAAAATCCACAAAGGCCAATTGCTCACTTCAATCATCACAAGATATCATCGGATTCTCCTGTTGGACCAAGAACTAACCTGAACTTTGACGATCGATAGCGCTACTAAACTGCAACTCCGCCGCCTCCACGACGCTACCCTCACCATCTTGGAGATCAGAGACGTGGCAGAACACGTCCTGTGCACTTGTGCACTTGGACTGCAAGTGCAAGGATGGGTTCCATTCCCGTTATGGCGAAAGTCGTCGACTATCTGGGGTTGAGTCGTTGAGTCATGACATTCTAGAAAATTCCTATGAAAACTTGTAGACCTCACAACAATCTGCACTAGGGGGTACAATTAGAGTTCAAAGTTTCACGTCGCACGGACACGTGCCAAGCTCCGTCTCCTCGCTATTGTCTTGTGGCTGAATGAAGCCGAATCCTGATATGGATGGGGTCAGGATCATGACATATCTCTGTGAAACCACCACTCAGCAATAGAGTGAGTCTGAGAATCCGAATCATTCTACGCAAAGAGAATATATATACATGCAGTGTATATATATTAATTATATAATATACTTGCAATGCCGGCCAATGAACGAATATCATTGCAAACCCAAAAGGCAAAGGATTGAAAAAGACAAACCAATTCTACAGTCTACAGCTCTTGTTCAACATGTTCAACTACCTGTTTCGAATTAGCAGGAATTTGAACAGTGGAGAGAGGCTTTAATGATCTTTAATGACTTTAATGGAAGTATTTATTGGTGGATGGATTCAGATTTAGATATTGAACTGTGTGGCCGGACCCTTCTCAGCGTTCCATCGCACCTGGCGGTAACACCAGAGTGGGGCTGCCGTCTAAAGAAAAACCGCTCACAGTCGCAAAAGAAACCAGGAATAGATGGATTCATGAAAACATCCTCGGCAGCCTGGAGTTTGCACCCCTGCAAATTTCAGAATGCAGTAGATAGTTGTGTCCGATGCATGGATCCTGAAGAATACGTAACATTCACAATGAGATTCAACCCAACTTATGAGGTTCAGAAAAATAGTGGTTCGTCTGTCGTCACCAGTGGTAGAACCCCAGCAGCGGATATTGACTGAAACAATCTACGTCTAACTCACACAGCAAACAATTATTTTTCAGAGGTTCCCTTGCCACAATATGCCACAATAAGGATTTACCCTCTGGTTATTTAACATAGCTATGGAAAATGGCCCATTTATAGATGGTTTGCCTATTAAAAATGGTGATTTTCCACGGCAAACTGTTAAATAACCAGAGGGTATATTTATATGGTAAAACATCACGCCATGCCGAGTTTTAATCTGGGATCTCCGGCCAGCACCCCAGTTGGCATTGTGGCAGGTCCTCCCGTCCTTCTCCCCGGACAGAGCCAACGCTGCAAAATGAGACCACCCAAATTGACAAACAATTGGAATAGCCAGTGAAAAATCCTCCATTTTCATCCATTTTCAAGCTCCAAGTTGAATCTACAACAAGTCTTTGCCCCAACTATTCCGCATTCAGGCAGTGTCTGCCTAGCCATTTGGATTGCTCTTGAAAAAAATATTTTCTTTTCTCGTTCTAAAATCGTTCTTGATTAGCAAATGACAAACAGATCCTCATATTCCCTGTTAGAGTCAGAAGCCGCAAAGTCAGTCGACTCTGGGCCGCTCCCTGAAGCACTGAAGTTGAACCCGAGAGGCTCGCCGTTTTCAAAATGATGGACTAAGCTTGTCTGTGTCAGCCGTGGAACTTGGCATCTCTGATGCATCGTCCCAAAAGCTTTCTGCACAGTGCTCTAGGATTTAATTTGTTGGGTAGCCATGGGTAGCCAGCATTCCAAATTTGTTTTGGGATGCGTGCATGCTTCCAAAGATGGAGACACATACACACACTTTTCCAAAGGACTGGTTTAGTTTCGTTTGAGAGGGTCTTCATGGGTCTTCAATGTCTCTGAATGCATCCATCTGTTGCACCAGTCTGACGGTGCCACAAGTCACCCAGAACATTTGCTGGTGCATTGTAAACATCTTGGCAAGTAGAATATGCGTAAATATGATTTAAATATGCTTAAATAAGGAACACTTCAATCCACCGTTGGCCAAATTTGTTTGTTTTGGCCCCGCCAACCAGTCCACTGGCCACTCTCCGCTTTGGACCATCAAGCAGTGATGATTCCAGACTCCAGACTATGTCAGAGTAGTCGCAGGTGTGCGTCTCACTCCAGTCACACAGCATCACCTGAAACACTGAGGTGCCGTTATGTGCCGTTGGGGCAGACTTGTGACACAATCCACAAGCCATGTCATCCCCACTCCCCGATTGCACGGCCTGCCTCGACTTGGCCTCAGATGCCTCCCCAGCGATGGAACGAACGGATGGCAAAAGAAAGAATGAGTCATAAAAATTAGGATCCCTCAAGCCATTTGAGTTTTTTTTTGACAGTTTGATTCTGGAAACAGTCATGATGCCCTTTGAACTTTGAATCGCAACATGCTGAGTATCACAAATCTGATTTGATAGGGCGGAAAAGTGAAGTGTAATGAACCCCATGAGCTTGGACAAACGGAGGACAATCATCACCTCCAACTCAGGGGCTTCCAATTTTTCCCCTTCAAATTCCAAGGCCGTTGGCCCAGACCCAGCCAGGATCTTAGTGGCCTCCATCCATTGACTTCCCAGACGGCATACCCTGACCCAAACAGCGTAGCAAGAACAGCAACCACCAGCGAAGCCACGACAGCATCGAATACCAACCAGCTGAGTCTGGGACAAAAGTTTCTGGCCATCCTTCTCTGGCCGCAGGTGACGCAGGTGACCCCTGGAGAGCTGATTCTTATTGGGTCGAAATTGCTGAGCTGAAACACAGTATGCTTCTTGAAATTCGGCCTGACCATGCCATGCTTCACTGGTGGGTTGACAGAAACCTCCAATATACCCAAACCCAGACTGCGATGAAACTCACAAACATGCATGGATTATCATGGATTCATACATCCATGTTGTTATCATCATGTTTATGCACCATATATTACACCGGAGATCTTACCTCGCTGGACTTGAAGGACCTGGATGGTCGCACCTCGAGGGAGCACCATATCCCTATTGGAATGCTGGGTTCAGCTTCTACCATGCTAGTTACGCTAGTTGGTTTCAATTTGCTTCGAGGGGTTCCCTCAATGACACTTATCCGCCGACCCCGGCAGACGCAAGGGGGAGCGCGCCAGGGAATAAGACAAGCAAGTTTAGGAGCAGGAGCCGCAGCAGCAGCAGGAGGAAAAAGTAGCCAAAATCATCATGTTCTATGGGTTTCAGAAGTTACGTTAGGCATTTTCGGGGTGCAATTTTGGGGCTTATGGGCAAGAGCACGCAAAAGAGCAGCAGCAGCAGCAGAAGCAGCAGCAGAAGCAGCAGCAGCAGCAGCAGTTGTTTCTTGCTTTGGAAGCTGTTTGATTGCAGCAGCACGACAGCAGCACCACAGCAGCAGCAGCCACCAGCAGCAGCACCAGCAGGAGGCAGCAGGCCGCCGCAGGCAGCAGCAGGCAGCAGCAGGCAGCAGCAAGCATCAGTAGGCAGCAGCAGACACAAGCAGACGCAGCAGCAGTAAGCGCAACGGCAGCAGTGCAGCAGCTAGCAGCACGAAAAATTGTGTTTTCCAAGGATGGCACCAATGGCTAGCAGCCAGCGCCAGTAGCAGCCAGCAGCCAGTAGCCAGCAGCCTACCAAAAATCTAGATTTTTCTAGGATTTCAGACGACACGTTAGGCACTTTTTTGGCGTGGTTCTGGCACTCGCTCGTCCTTCAGAGCCCTGGTGTTTTCCCCCCCGGCAGGTGATTTTTTCGAACCTGTTTTACTGCTAGCAGCCGCCAGCAACAGAATCTATCGAAAAATTGTGTTTTTCTAGGGTGTCAGACGACACGTTAGGCACTTCTATATATCTTGTATATATTTCTATAGGGTTTCAAACGTGACGTTTGGCAGTTTTCTCGTTTATATAGCACCAATGGGTGTCAAGAACATGGGCAAGAGCACGCAAAAGGTGCACATAGCCAGTAGCTAGCAGCCAGCGCCAGTAGCAGCCAACAGCCAGTAGCCAGCAGCCTACCCAAAATCTAGCTTTTTCTAGGATTTCAGACGACACGTTAGGCACTTTTTTGGCGTGGTTCTGGCACTCGCTCGTCCTTCAGAGCCCTGGTGTTTTCCCCCGGGAGGTGATTTTTTCGAAACTGTTTTACTGCTAGCAGCCTCCAGCAACAGAATCTGTCGAAAAATTGTGTTTTTCTAGGGTGTCAGACGACACGTTAGGCACTTCTATATATCTTGTATATATTTCTATAGGGTTTCAAACGTGACGTTTGGCAGTTTTCTCGTTTATATAGCACCAATGGGTGTCAAGAACGTGGGCAAGAGGACGCAAAACATAGCCAGTAGCTAGCAGCCAGCGCCAGTAGCAGCCAACAGCCAGTAGCCAGCAGCCTACCAAAAATCTAGCTTTTTCTAGGATTTCAGACGACACGTTAGGCACTTTTTTGGCGTGATTCTGGCACTCGCTCGTCCTTCAGAGCCCTGGCGTTTTCCCCCGGGAGGTGATTTTTTCGAAACTGTTTTACTGCTAGCAGCCTCCAGCAACAGAATCTGTCGAAAAATTGTGTTTTTCTAGGATGTCAGACGACACGTTGGGCACTTCTATATATCTTGTATATATTTCTATAGGGTTTCAGACGTCACGTTTGGCAATTTTCTTATTTATATGGCACCAATGGGTGTCAAGAACATGGGCAAGAGCACGCAAAAGGGCAGCAGCAGCAGCAGAAGCAGCAGCAGCAGCAGAAGCAGCAGCAGCAGCAGTTGTTTCTTGCTTTGGAAGCTGTTTGATTGCAGCAGCACGACAGCAGCACCACAGCAGCAGCAGCCACC